ATCAATTCTCCTTCTATCCTCTTTGGTCATTGTCCAACTCTCTGATGCATAACAAGTGATTGCGAAGACCATGGCCTGTATCAAATGCACCTTAGTCTCCAGAGAGACACCACTGCTCTTCAATACTTTGTAGACGTCCCTAACAGCAGACTTTCCCATGGCAATGCACCTTTTAATTTCCTGGCTACGGGTGCCAAGAGTGTTGACTGTGGAGCCAAGCAAACGAAGCATCTTTATTTTATATCTTACATTTCAAAATTATCTGCACCACAGCTTATGCATACTTGGATTAATTCCACATGTTTATAATCAGTGCAGGTAAAAGAAACTGTCTTAGCTACAAAACTGATTTTCAAATTTACCTACTATCTCATTTAGTATCAAATTTATTCCTTGAAACAAGCATTTCAAATACTTCTTTGAAAACTCTCAGTTTCCACACACGCTTTGCAATGAATTCTTTATCCTTGCATACATCTGTCTCAGATTTCCCTTTATTTGCTGACAATTCATTGTATGTTTAAAAAAAGAAAAGGGTTACTAGGCATAAGAAGGTGGGGAAAGACGAAGCTACTGTTTAGAAAGCTACGAGCATCTCTTTAAGGTCATGAAGAACTCGGCAAAGGATAGCAGTGGCAAGTGCAATATGATTAATTAAATTAATTGCCAATGAATTGAACACACATAAAAGGCTGAACTGGCAAACACTGGGTACACATACTTTTGTTTAAAAAACCCCAAAAGGTAAAACAACACCTACCGTGGCAAACGTCGTTTTTTTGCCTTGTTTAAAGATTCATGCTTCTTTTCAATGATGCGCCTTAGGTGATCAATAGTGCCACAACATTGCTGGATTGTGCCTGTTCACAAGTATAAAATATATTTCAAAAAGGGGATTGTTAATTACTATTAGTGAATTAGTACTGGCCTAGTTTTTAATTAAAAAAGATAATTTTACTGAAGATTTAATATATTTTCTTTTTCAGAACACAGTGTATTAATAAGTTATTTATGCTGCACATAAAAAAATAAAACCCATACTCAAGACTGCAGGACAGTGTGATAACTAAACAGAGTGTGTGCATACATAGCAATGCCACACTTGACCAAAGACATACTGCTTGTAACCCCACAAGCCACACACACACAGCAGGCACACCATTAACATGAGGTAGGAAGGACTTTCAGGTACTAGGAAACCCATGTGCAGGCCAGAGTCTGTGGACTTCAATTTAGGGCTATGACTGGGAAGAGTAAGCTCTTTGGTTCCGTCCTTTTTTGTAGGTAAAGGAAATGACATTACAGTTATCACACAGAGTTACCACACAGTTGCCATCAAAGGAGGAGAGCAGGAAAGGAAATGGTAAAACGTCCTCTGAAAATTTAGAACATTCATATGACAGTATATTGTGCAGCACTCAGGAGCAGTGATTTCGATAAATATTATATAACATGGGAGAGTCTCGAGAGCATTGGGCTGAGTAAACTAACTCAGTTTCATGGAAACAAATGCTGCATAAGACTACTATTGTAAAAATAGAAGAATAACTAGTAAGATGTTTATGAGTATCTAAAGAGGGAAGAGGAGTGGGAATGAGGACTGGAGGTAGGAAGGGAAGGAAGGAAATCACTGGATCACAGAGTTTGATGAGTGAAGAAAGAGGGTGAGGGAATAAGTGGGGTGGTAGGTCCAACAGGGATCTGGGAAGACAAGGTGGTGGTGGGCATGTATCGATGGTAATTAATTCTGTAGGATGCAGTGTGTGGGAGTGACCATATAGAATACAGGGGACATAAATGCGGAATGTGTTCCCACTGTGTGGGAACGAACAGTCAGTATACATGTTTTGTATACAAACCAATACAAAATAAAAATAAATTTTTTAAAAAACCAACACAACAGTCCTCTGAAGCTGAGGACTTCAGGAAAAGAGACTCTTAGCACATTCATTCTGACTTCTCTGAGACGTAGGCTTCCTTTCATGGCAGTGATTTCAGAAAGTGGGAAGTTCATCTTGTGGAGAAAATTCACCTATATGGAATGTCAAGATAATCAAAGTAATTTTAAGCTACCTAAAGGCAAGAGATAAGGTCTAAATTTTAAGCACTTTGGTCCACAAAAGACTATCAACCCAGGTGACAAAGGTCTCAGCCTGTATTTCAAAATATAAGCAGAAATCAAAACCTGGGCAAATAGACAACTAGCCTCTCCCTTCTTCATCACCTCCCTTCCAAGCTTGTGACTGTTACATGTGGAGTCCAAATAAGTAAGCTCTATCATCTCTTCCTACTCAAATATAATTGTCCCATGCCTTGGGCAGGATCTCCAGCCAGCTAGGGGTCAACCTCAGTGGCATGAGGTGTGTGTGGTGAGTCTTTGAAAAGGTCATGCAAGAATCTCTTGCAAACAGAATACAGATGCAAAGGAGCACTACGCCTTCCATGGATCAGCCTAAGCCAGAGGGGCAGGGTGCAGGGAGGAAAAGCACCTTCAATTTGTCCTAAAGCAAACAAACATTAGCAAGAAAATCAGAAACTTGGACCAAACATACCCAGAGATTTTTCATCTTTATGTGCCAAGGCCAGACTTTCCATGTAGACAACCAAGGCTTCAAATACAAACTGGTCTACCAGGGCCTCTTCTTCCCTATAAAATAAAGGATATTAAGCCTCACCAAGAGACAACTATAAAGCAGAAATTAATGGGGGGGGGGAATCTTACTGAACAACACTGTTGTTAGGAGCTGTCTGTTGAGTTCAACATAAAGTGACCTTATGAACAACAGATTTGAACCCTGTCCTATCCTGTGCCATCCTCAACATCTCAAGTCACTGTGCCAATCCAACTAGTTGAGGGTCTTCCCTCTTCTTCACCGACCCTCCACATTTCCAAGCATGACATCCCTTTCCAGGGAATAGCCACTCCTGAAAACATGCCCAAAATTGAGCATGACCAAAAACGAACAAGTGAAATGAACTTTCATCATCCTGACCCCTAAGGAGCACTCTGGCTGCACTTTCTCCAAGACGGATCTGTTGTTGTGGTAGTCTATGAGATATTCGGTACTCTTCACCACAACTCAAAGGCATCAATTCTTCTTCTGTTATCTTTATTCATTGTCCAGCTCTCAGATGCAAAACAAGTGACCATGGCCTGAATCAGGTACATCTTAGTACTCAAATTAATATCAGTGCTCTTCAGCACTTTGGAGAGCTCCTTGACAGCAGACTTGCCCACTGCAATACATTTCCTGATCTCCTGACTGCTGGCACTAAAGGTGTTGATCGTGGATCCAAGTAAGATGAAATTATTGACAGTTTCAATATGTTCTTCATCTATGTTGCCTATTGGGCCAGTGGTGAGGATTTCTTGTCTTCTTGATGTCAAGATGCAACCCATATTGAAGGCTGTAGTCTTTGATTTTCATTGAACAACATATATTTTAAATTTGTTAGAAAAAACGGCTTGAATGTTTCAAATATAAAATGATCTAAGTTACTTCTCAAAAAACAGAAACCTGTTCAGGCACCAACTGAAGAGGCAGTTTCCCAATCTGTCTGACGATCCCTCCTAATTCATGAGTTGTGCAACTATTCAAAACACATAACCTCAGAACTGTTCTTCTGATCACAATTTACATACTCAGTAAAATTAAACATGGTAGAAAATAAGATCCAATATATCAAACCTATAGTAAAGTAAAGGATTTTTAACAGCTCTCAATCAACTAGTATGCACAACGGTGAACTCTCAACCTTTTATGAAAGTCCCAGTACAGGAAACACCAGCTGGCCTCCCCTGCTGCGGACACCTGCTATACAGAACTGACATCAGCTCCTCGGGGCTGAGGTTCCTAGGTATCAACTCAGAGAACAGAACTCTCACTGGAAATGGGGTCATCCGTAATACAGAACAGTAAGTAGTCAGCTTCGAAATAATGGGCAATTCTCCCTGTGCTTCTGCCCCCAGGGTACAAGGCTGGGGCACTACACGGTTCCAGGAAGACACTTCTGAGACAGAGGCTCACAGTAGGTGCTGAAGGAGAGCAGGGTTGAGAAAAGACGGCAAACTGGTGTTTGATTTGGCAGGGTTATTATCATCACTTTAAAAAAATCTGAATCCCACCAAAGGCAGAATAGAATATGGTGTAGGACCTGTTAAAAATCTGGCTTCCCTAGACTTTGATCTGATCCAGCTGCCTCGACTTTGCCCTGCTAGAAAGGAGTGTCCCAAATTACCACTCACATTTCCCCTTGGGTGGGTCTATACCTCAGGAGTCCGGTAAAAGCAGCTTGCAGGCAGAACTCTCTGGCTGTTTTTCCTTGGCTCACCTGTGTGAGCCAAAGCTCAGCTGTGTGAGCTTTGGACCTTCCAGTGGGTTCCACAAGCCTTAGCTCCTCAGTGTCTCCCACACAGATATGAACCTCCCACACAGATATGAACCAAAGACTAAAGGGTCCTATACACAAACAAAGTGGCATATGCAAAGGTATGGAGGTAAGCAGAAAGCAGCAGACCAAAAGAGGAAAAGCTCATTTGGAGAAGTACCTGTGCTAAGGCTACACCTACCAGCTGAAGTCAAACCTGTAGAGTATTTGGAGACCTGGCCACGTGGTTTTTTTTTTTTTAGCCTACAGCACCCGGTATTCCCACATCCAAGTACTAACCAGGCCCGACCCTGCTTAGCTTCCGAGATCAGACGAGATCGGGCGTGTTCAGGGTGGTATGGCCGTAGACCCATCTTGAGTTCTGAGAAATCAGTGAAAGTGACAAGACATTACTCTGAAACTGCATTGTGGAGAAGTGTGTAGGCAAGACAGAAACATTCACACTGCTACTTATATTATCCAACATGTACAATCCCAACATGCACCTTGGATCAAATGCGACCTAAAACATTCCTATGTGCCAGGAACTGTGATAAATGCCTGAGACAGACAGGTTGAGTCTGTTTGTGAGGTCTAATAACAGGAAAGAGAAAGGGAGAGAGATAATAGTAATCACATAGAAGTAAATGTAAAGTAGAAGTGCATGATTATTGTGCAGTTATAATGAGAACTTGATCCATGTGAGAGATCTGAATAGCTTCTCTCAGGAAATGGCAGTTTAGATAGAGAAGGGCTCAATTATAAAAATCAGTCAGATAGGCAAATGGAATTTGTGTGAATATGTGTGTGTATGAAAAGTGACTACTTTGAACTGGGGGGGGGCAGGCTGGGCAGGGAAAAAATTGCAACAATGAATGAATGGAAATCCAAAGCCTCTATAAATTTTCATTAAAATTAATTATTTTTTTTTAAAAAGAGAAGTAACTACAGCTACTAGGGATTTTGTTTGGTTTAATAGTGACACATGGGCAAAAGATTATGTAAAATACCCATATATTTATATGAAGTTTACAGAATAATAAAAGCTTCTGCTAGACCTTCCCCACAAACAAGGAAGAGAAGCAGCAGTAGAGAATGTAGGGCACTTTTCAAGACCAGACATTCTTGCTCCAGCTACATCTACAGCAGCAGCAGCCACAGCCAAAGCAGAGGGCCAGAGAGACCTAACATGAGACAAAGCTGGCTACTATCCACCATACACATACACCCCCTCCCAACCACAGCTAAACAAAGAACCTTTGCCCAAATTTTGCGGTGGGAGGGAGAGCCAATACTGGCAGAACTGAGTACTTTCTAACACTGGCCTAAAGCCAAGAGGTTCAAAGCTGAGGTGACTACAAGAACATTTTGGAAGCTGTCTTGACTGTATTCTGCTACTAACCTCGATTATAAACTTCTGACTCCTTCCAACCCCCCCAAAAAGTTTCTGCTTCCCTCCTACCTATATTATGGAATAGAATTTCTTGTATTTAGACCTTCCAGTCACATAACTCCCTGTCATCTTCCCAGAGGTTATCATTCTCATGACTTTCATGTTACTCTCTTGTTTTTCTTTTTGTTTGTACACATTCCTATATGTTATTTCCTAATTTCGGAAGGCTGGTGGCAAACATAAGTGCAGATATGGAGGTGAGGAATGGTGTTCTCACTAGCAGGTGAAGGGCTGTGTGAGATGACAAACCAGAGACTGGCTTCAATTCCCAAAAGGCCACATGACGCCTGTGACACGAGTAGGCACAGGTGCAGTGATGGCCAAGACCCAGGCCTACAGGATCTGGAACCTGGAACGCAGTGGTGTTGGCTGGCACTGATGTCTGGAAGAAATGTCATTAGGGACGTGCTGTGCATAGTTTTGCTGTTGTTTCTCCCAGTGGACTCTGTGCACCTGCAAGGAGCAGGTCAAAACAAAAGCTCTTCTGGGATCAGTGAACATTATTAATGGTGAATTCCACCTGACAGGACTAAAACTTCATGCACATGGCCATAAATCATCTTCAGAACTGAACTTAGGCTGGACTTGGTGTGCTCTCCAAGCTGATGGGACCACACTGCTGTGGGTCTTAGAGACAGGCCTTTCTCAGGTCACCTGCTTGGCTGCCTGGTACCCAGGAGCAACCCATCCTGCTCTGTTGTTCCAGGGGAAGCTCACTGCTCTATTCTTGGCTCGAGCTCCTCATTCCTTTCAGGGGAAGACTCTTTTTTGGATATGCTCTCACTTGTCTAACTGGATGAAGAATCAAGTGTCTGTGCCACTGCTGCTTAAAACATGGTCTTTTAGACAGCCTCTGGAATGCCACCTGGTCAGCCTGGTCTCACCCAGTCCTCTCTCCACATGGCATCAGTGTGTCAACCAAGATGACCATACCTTCTTCTGTATCTCACATCTATCTCCTATTCTAAATATCTTGTTCCTTATCTCAATCCCACCCTGTCATCTAAAAATGCTCTTGCTGGGCATTCCTTCACTGACTCAAACTGGGCAGATGTTCTCCTGTGGCCTTAAACACCTTAAATATGGTCTTCCCTTGTATGCAGGGAGTTATGTTGCTAACTCAAAAGGTCACGCCCCTCTGGTGGCCATTCTGAGGGAGAAAGAATTTATAGCCTCAGAAGTCAAATAAAAAGTCAGTTAGCACATTATGCTGAGTGAAATATCTCAGTCACAAAGGGACAAATATTATATGGTGCCACTATTGTAGAATGAGGCTGACATTGGGGTGGGGGTAAGACTGAGAAAAACTGGATAAATTATGTTTACTGCATTGAAGCCGATGAGGGAGAGAATAGTTTAAAATTCATATATTTTAGGGAATTATGATTATCGTAAGAGTCTG